AAAAAAAAAAAAACTAAAAAAAACAATTAAAACTAAAAATGTAATTATAAATCATAAATTAAAATCAGATGGAAAAAAAAATTGTTAAGACTATTTAAACCTTGACCACTGTTCCATACTTTATGGCTTTTCTATTGTGAAAGGCTTAGAAATGCTCCTGTAACATTCCCATACTTTCTTCACATTGGGACATGAGTTTTAGCTTCTAATGTCTTTCAGTCTACTTTAGTTAGTCACTCATGTTCTATTTAAGCAGTTTCTTTCTTTCTACAGGTCAGGTTTTGATCAAAATCAGTCATCACCTTTCTATGCATGGAGTTTAATCACCGTTCCTTTGATATTTAACAAAGGGGGGAACTATATTCTTTACAAATAGATCTGCTGGTTCAAAGGGGTCTGCTATCAGATTCCAAACCCTGGGGGAGACTGTTTAATTTCATCAGAGTGCAGCGTTGCCAGTTGCTTTTAAGGGTCCTTAACCTGTAACTTCCAGGTTAAATGCTAGTGGCTGAACGTTACACAGTTTCCCTTTGAGAGAACCACAGAAGCAGAGATTGACTTGTGGTTTCAGACCCCTTATAGCACATGTAAACAAATCCTATCCCCTTGCTGAAGCTAGGCCTGCAACAAATTAATTTCAAAGTAAAACAGTTAAGATGAGAAAGGAAACTGGTCCAAAGGACCAATCAGAAATGGTTTATCATAAGAGAATGATTTTGTCTTGTGTTTTTCCTGAAGGGAAAAACCAACCATGGATGAAACTAAAAATTAAATTGTGTCCTTTATTCAAATTCTATGTGGAGGGGACAACAAACACTGCACATTACCCTAAACAGGGAACGAAAACAGCAAAACATTAAATTGGCAGCATCATATAGGGGAGATATTTTTCATTGATAGTTTTCTATGTTACATGTTGTGAGAAACTAGGCTTTAGGTTCCCCTTTCAGCAGAGCAATGACAATAATAATACTGCCAGAGGTACAAAAACATAGTTTGATAAAAGTAGATTAACATCTTAGAATGGCATGGAGTCCAGACTTTAAGTTTCAGTGATGTCCAAACAAATATTGACATTGGAAAACGGTTCAAAATCAGCCAAAAAAAAAAAAAAAAAAGAATATCAGAATACTTTGACATTTAAAATCTCTGATAACAGAAAGCTCATAGAAACACTTTGCTTCTATCTACTTTTGTTTACAGTTTAAGATAGATAGACTTCATTGCTCTTAATTCTCTTAAGTAACTGTTTGGTGAATGAGAAATGGGTCAGTTTTTCTTATACCTGATGTTGTTGAGTATTGTTTACTGTTTGGGAAATATAACCTGACCAAATATTTTCTATCATTCTACTAATTAAAATAAACAATAAAGTATGTATGATTTATGCTGATATCGTATCGGGTTGATTTCAGTATCGTTCAATACTCAAGCTGCAATAACTGTATCCTATTAGAAATTAACAAGTTTAACATAGAATCTAGGGATGCACGATTTTGGGATTTTGGCTGATATCCGATATGCTGATATTTTAAAACTCATGTAGCCGATAACCAATATCGATACTGATGTTAAAGCTGGACAAAAATAAGTAGTCATTGAAAATAGCAGTTTTGTTATCCAATTCTGACACTTTGAAAATATAATATACTCAAATATATTTTCATATGCTGATATCAAATTGATTTTTAAAAACGCGGTATTGATCTATTTTACTTTCAAAATCTCGTGAAATTTCATCGTTCTGTTACAAACTCTCGCGATATTTTGCAAATTCTTGTGAGATTTTGTTAGTAAAATAGATCGATACCGCGTCAATATATCAACATATAAAAATATGGCAAAATTTTGTGAATTTTCGGGGGATTTCGTAGCATAACGATGACATATAGCAATATTTTATTAGTAAAAGAGATTGATATGGTGTTTTTAAATGGCAATATATCAGCATATGAAGACATTGTGATATTTGAATGTATCAATATTTTTTCCCTCGTCTTTAGAAGTTTTTAAGTCTGTAAAAAAGAAGTTTTTGAGGAAGAAGAAGAAGTAGTATTTTTTTTATTTTTTTTCAGACTTTAGAAACTCAGAAGCTGATCAAATATCGGGTTAAATATCGGTGGGGTGGCCGATGTCCGATATTCAGTTTTAAGGCCGATACAGGCCGATACCGATAGGGGGCCGATTATATTGTGCATCCCTAATAGAATCTATTGTGGGAATTAAAATTAGATTTTCACAGACACTCCTAACACTCCAATGGCTCTACAAAAACTATTTCACTGACATGAATGTGTATAAAACTTTTCATATCTTTATTGAATTTTGTGGTTCATGCTCAATATCAATAAAACCTATTGAACGTTTGGTAATAAGATGGATAAGGAACAATGGGAAAAGTTCTAGACATGTAAATGCAGGTCCTTCTCAAAAAAATTGCATATTGGGATAAAGTTAATCATTTTCCATAATGTAATGATAAAACTTGAACATCATATATTTTCAATTTATTGCACACTAACTGAAATATTTCAGGTCTTTTATTGTCTTAATATGGATGATTTTCGGATACAGCTCATGAAAACCCAAAATTCCTATCTCACAGAATTAGCATATTTCATCTGACCAATAAAAGAAAATTGTTCTTAATACAAAAAAAGTCAGCCTTTAAATAATTATGTACAGTCATGCACTCAATACTTGGTCGGGAATTCTTTTGCAGAAATGACTGCTTCAATGCGGTGTGGCATGGAGGCAATCAGCCCGTGGCACTGCTGAGGTGTTATGGAGGCCCAGAATGCTTCGATAGCGGCCTTTAGCTCATCCAGAGTGTTGGGTCTTGCGTCTCTCAACTTTCTCTTCACAATATCCCACAGATTCTCTATGGTGTTCAGGTCAGGAGAGTTGGCAGGCCAATTGAGCACAGTGATACCATGGTCAGTAAACTATTTACCAGTGGTTTTGGCACTGTGAGCATGTGCCAGGTCGGGCTGAAGAATGAAATCTTTATCTCCATAAAGCTTTTCAGCAGATGGAAGCATGAAGTGCTCCAAAATCTCCTGATAGCTGTATTGACCCTGTGCTTGATAAAACACAGTGGACCAACACCAGCAGCTGACATGGCACCCCAGACCATCACTGACTGTGCGTACTTGACACTGGACTTCTGGCATTTTGGCATTTCCTTCTCCTCAGTCTTCATCCAGCCTCTGGCACCTTGAATTCCAAATGAAATGCAAAATTTGCTTTCATCCAGAAAAAAAGTACTTTGGACCACTGAGCAACAGTCCATTGCTGCTTCTCTTGTCCTTTCCTGGGGAATGCGGCACCTGTAGCCCATTTCCTGCACACGGCTGTGCACGGTGGCTCTGGATGTTTCTACTCCAGACTCAGTCCACTGCTTCTGCAGGTCCCCCCAAAGTCTGGAATCGGCCATTCTCCACAATCTTCCTCAGGGTCCTGTCACCTCTTCTCGTTGTGCAGCGTTTTCTGCCACACTTTTTCCTTCCCACTGAGGTGCCTTGACACAGCACTCTGGGAACAGTCTATTAGTTCAGAAATATCTTTCTGTGTCATACCCTCTTGCTTGAGGGTATCAATGATGGCCTTCAGTCAGGTCGACAGTCTTACCCATGATTGAGGTTTTGAGTGATGAACCAGGCTGGGAGTTTTAAAGGCCTCAGGAATCTTTAGCAAATGTTTATAGTTAATTTATTGATTCAGATGATTAGGCGCATAGCTAGGGTGACCAAACGTCCGTATTTCCCAGGACATATTCGTATTTCATGTCCTGTCCTGGGTGTCCCGGGTTTTTTTTAGAAAGTGAGGAAATGTCCTGTTTTTTTAAATTACCTTCATTGGACCATTAAATTTACAGACGCTAGGGCACTGCGCACGACGCTGCGTGTGACATCACCCCTGAGCCGCGCCAGTGCGGGCAGCCCTGTTCTTAATCAGAATATAGATAGCGTGGCTGTCAGTACGCCAACAACATGCAAAGGCACAAATGTATGTTTACCAACGATTTACAAAAGAGTTTCCCCGCTTTCAGACCGGATCGAGACACATTGGAGGCCTTGTGCACAGTGTGCAAAGCAGGCACATACGTATGTCTCGGTGTCCAATGGAAGTGCAAGGGATCTGAAAAGCCACCTGGACTCCGAAAGTCAAGATATTCTATTGATATGTTTGTTCGTTTTTGGTACATTTTGAGTTATTTTTGCTACAAAAGAGGTATTTTTTGTTAATTAGCTCATTTGTTTATTTTTTCCAATAACCTACAGAACAGACATTATTTCGTTCATTGCTGAGGCTGAGCATCATCATATTGGGAGTTGAGAGTTATTGTTAACTTTTATTGTTAAGTGAGGGATGTTTAGATGAGACATTATTTCTTTCATTGTGCTATTCATTCATTACAGGAATTGTTAAACATTTTTAATAAATACATTTTGAATAAAATTATCATTTGTTATTGGAGTTATTGCTGTTGACTTTTACTGAAAAGCATTTTTAATAAATCAACTGTTAATATCATGTTATTGTAGGATTACCTAGGCCTATGCATGGGAACAGAGATCCCCCACCGCCGCCCCCCCGCTCCAAGGTGTCCTGGTTTTTCAAAATGAAAATATGGTCACCCTACGCATAGCTTTAGAGACCTTTTTCATGATATGCTAATTTTGTGAGATAGAAATTTGGGGTTTTCATGAGCTGTATGCCAAAATCATTATTATTAAGACAATAAAATACCTGGAATATTTCAATTAGTGTGCAATGATTCTAAAATATATGAATGTTCAAGTTTTATCATTACATTATGGAAAATAATTAACCTTATCACAATATGCTAATATTTTGAGAAGGACCTGTACAGGGCTCTGCAGCGCTGTTTCTCTTGACAATTGTTAATATTCTTTCTGACCAGCAGATGGCAGCACCGCCCAATATTATCAGAGACGTCCTGGAGCTCCTGCAACGTCATATTCATGCGCCGGAAATGTTTCATACTCCGGAGCCCGGAGTGCTGATGTGTTTCTGAGACGTTTTAGTTGACAGATCCCTCAGGGTCTGATCATTTTTATCGGTATATTAACGGGTAGAAGCGGGAGCTGTTGTAAGGTTCATGACAGAGAGGACCCACCGGAGGAGATCCTCAGTAGAGACGAGTAGAGGGAATGGCGGTGAGTGAAGCAGACACATGTATTAAAGGAGGAACACTGGTTCATTTCAGTAGGAACTGACTGCAGTCACTGTCCTGCTGGGATAACGGTAGCTGGGACTAACGATTGAGACATAATAACATCATGTTTTAGTGTCATTTTCACTTTTTTTCAATACAACATAAAACTATATTAAGTACCCATTTAAGCCTCTTTACATGGTCTACTGATAAATAAGGCATAAACTGCTTACCTAATGCCTATTTAAAAGAGAAAAGGCATCCACATTTAGGCATAAAGTAGTTCTATGTGTACTTAAAGAAGCAATAGAATAGCAGCAAAAAACATTTAAATGTCCAAGATTCAAGAGTGGGTGTCATCCAAAAGTATTAACTTTTTTCTGTTAAGGAGGTACAAATATATAGTGTGGTTTTAGGTCTCAACTTTGACTAGGCCATTTTAACACACAGGTGTATTATGATCTAAGCCCCTAAATTACAGCTCTGGCTCTATGTTGTTATTTTACAAACTGGAACATAAAGTGAAGTCCAAAGATCAGGTATGTTTCTGCTTCTAACTGGTTTTATTCTAGGGTCCTTCTGCGTTTATCCTTATTCATAATAAAGGAAGTGGTAAAAGTAGAACTTCTGACTGATGGATTGCAGGTTATAAAAAAACATCAAAAAGCAGCTCACTCAAGAGTTGCTGCAACAACTTGGATGAATTCAAATAATTCAGTCATTGATTTAGGAATTCTTCTAAATTAAGCAAGTGCAGATCAAATGTGTTATTTTGGAGTATTAATCAACAGTAAATGTCTCAACTCAAAACTATAAAGTGTTTCGATTTATAAGACTACAAATATCATTATGTTTATATTTTTTGACCGTTTCCTTTAGAAAGTATGGAATATGAATTATTATTTGCTAAAATGCATTGATTTCTTTTGATCAGGTTGAGAGCAGTTTGGTTTTACTCACAAAGCTCTCCATGTTTTCTTAAAGCCCAAAGGTAAAGTTGGAACAAAAGGAAAGAAGCAGATCTATGAGGAGAACGAGGCGACGCTCAAGTTCTACACCAGAGTCATCCTTGGAGCCAATGTAAGACAGATGCATATAGTTATTGTGGTCTTTCTTCTGGGACAATGTTAGGGGATGATCACCAGCTGTAATTGACTGGATGCTGACAGATATAAAGCTTGGCATTGTATGGGACTAGTAGAATGGTTTAGGATTCTTTTCCTGCTTTTTCTTGAAAGCAGAAAACAAGGATCAGTACGGCAAAACATGATTAAACCGTATTTATCTGCAATTTATTTGTTCCTTTTTTTAGATTACTAATGTTGACACGAAAGGAAAATATGAACCTCTAAAAGGCTAGATTTATATTTAAATCCAAAGCCGAAAAAGTTAGCTCCTGGAAGTAGCATAGGATCCCATTTCCGGTACAAATGGGCACAGATGAGTGATAAAAGCCTTTAATACATTATCGTTTAGTACACTTACAATTTTTGGGAAGGGAAAAACATAATCTACGTCTTTTTTACTGAATAAAATTGAGGGCGACCTGGATGTATATCTGGTTGCACATGCACAAATGAGCTGATGGTACGGATCGATTTCCGGGATGGATCGGGTAATGACATCAACAACTGTTCAAAGTTACTGTCCTCCTTACAAGATGTTTTTAGCACCATAACTGCTTCAAAACCTACATTTTCCAGGTGCATGATCTATAGGATCAGAAATGTACCCAGAAGCTTGGCTCTTCATGTCCTAATCATGTCTTAATCGTCAAAAAAGTGTTTTTCGTAAATCTAAACAATAACTTTTATATTATTTCCTATTATTTCCTAAAACCCAGTTGTAAAATTTTGAAGTAGTTGTAAGTGGGAAAGCAGATGTTTAGGAACACTGATGATGAAATGATAACGATAAAAGCAAGCAGTTTAGTTTGTGTTACTGTTTTGATGAGTTTCCTTCAACTAATTACATTTCTCCTACAGGCAATATATGCTGCTGTGAATTTTTTAGTTTTCTACAGTTCTTCCACGTTATGGACCTGGGTGAGTGGATTTAAGTGTCTCCTAACTGTCTGAAAGTAGTGCTGTCGTTGTCTTTTCTGAGCCTGATCTTGATATGTTTCCCACAGCTGCTGCTGCTGTTTGCACTGGCCGTGTACGTGGGGAGTTACCGCTCTATGTCAGCCATGGCCAAACCAGCGTTTGCTGAGGACGGAAGCCTCGTGGATGGAGGAATAGACCTAAATATGGAGCAGGGAATGGCGGAGTAGGTCATGTTATGATTAGTAGATGAAATATGGTAAAAAAGTTAACGTTGGTCTCAATGTTTTTGCTTTTCTAACTCTGTTATGTGTCTGTTAGGCCTGCATCATTAGGACATAGCTGCCTAAGGTGCAGTGGCGTTATAAAATCCAGTTTCTGATGGGAGGAAGTCATCGTTGAATATGCTAATTTTATGAAATTTTTATTCACTTTTTTTTACATTTCATTTTAGTTTTATAATGAATGAAATGTCTTTTCAAACATGAGATCATTATTTCTTAGTAAAATTTAAAAGGGAAAAGACTTAATAACATGAATAAAGATACAGCTTACACTGTTTAAATCCAAATTACTTTCTTGTAGTGTAACTGTGATTCTATAATTCAGTCTAAGGATCAAAGCTGTTAACACTCAAACTCTGTATCTGGTTGCAATACTAATTTTGTTTGGCATCGATGCTAAAAACAAGTGTTTGCATATTTTAAGAGCTCAACAATAATATATTTACTCTTAATTTCATATTTATGGGTTATTTATTTTGTACATTTATTTAATATTTGATTCTGTTAAGGGTATAGTGGAGGATTTTTGCAAATTTTTGAAAAGAGCCATCCTCTCCTCTTAAAAAAAAAAAAAAATGCACATGCACAACCCTGTACCCGCTCCAGAAAAGGAATGCCTATCAAACGCGTGCAAGAGCGTGCACCAGCCCATTTCTCCTCGTGCACGCTTTGTTTAAAAGTTGCTGTTTGCATCGCTCATAAGAGCTTACTTTCCGAAAGACTAACCACCAGTAAGTGAAAATGGGGATGAGTACGTCATTCTGGTGATAAGTCCATCACATACATATACCGTAACCAGAATGATTGACAATTAGGAGGACCACTTATTTTGATGATCCACCCGGAAATGGAACATCCTCCTCTATACTTTTAAGAAAGCATGTTCAATGGTGAGATTAAGAAAGGTGAGCTTTTCTAAGCTAACATTTTCTTTGTCACGCCTTTAATTATCTGGCCTTTTTGTCCCAGTAGTATTGAAAATGGTATTGAATGTTAAATATTTTCCTATATATTGGTATTGAATTTGATATTTTAGTATCAGTAGACATCCCCTTATTTAGTTGAAAGGAGCTTATAGCTGATTCCAACTGATCCACTGCAAATAGACTTTTGATAGATGAGCAAGTTTTGAGTTTGTTACTCTAAGTTTGTGTCTTAATGTTAGACACAACGTTAACATTTATCTGAACTCTTAAAAACACTGAAACATTGTTTTCCATATTTAGACTCTTTTGATAAAATATCTCCCAGTCTCATTAAAGCTATGTTACATTTAAAGTTTAGAAAATGATATATAAAATCTGGTCCAAATACTCAGATTAATATTTTGCGCTGTCTGTTGTTTTGTTTTGTTTTGTTTTCAGACACCTTAAAGATGTAATCCTGCTCACCGCCATAGTGCAGGTGCTTAGCACCATCTCTTCTTATTTCTGGTACCTTTGGTGGTTGGTAAGAGCTTTTTTTTTTACCTTCTTTCATCTCTGATACTTTATTTCTTCTTCTCCTGACATGTCCTGTGCTTTGTGCGTGTTTCAGGCCCCCGCTCGTGCCCTGCACCTACTTTGGGTGAATTTTCTGGGCCCCTGGTTTATGGCAGAGAATCCTTCAGCACCTGAGGAGGTGAATGAGAAAAAGCAGAAAAGACAAGAGCGTAGACAGATGAAGCGATACTGATGCTGCAGAGCGCACTGAGCAGTATTTTTATACACACACAATTTAATATACAGGAGGAGGGCAACCCGTAAGTTATTCAGGAGGAAATTTTTGGTTATTGAGTTAAATCCGGTTGAAATCAGATCCAGTGAAATCCTGTCATTCATGTTTGTTTTCTTTCTGCTTTCATGCTGTAATCTAATGTTCTCCCTAAATTATGAAATGAAATGTTCCCTGTTTAGATGATGGCTCGCTCTAAATCCCATTCGTCTTCATGACAAAATGTGAGAGCAGAATGCTTTCCCCGCTACATATTTCTTTTTTTTTTTTCTTCCACGCCATCGTCCAAAACAGGTTTGTAACGTCATATCTTTTATTAGAATTTTCTCAGCTCCACACTGTGTCCGGATGTTTCAGAATCTAAATCAAAGCCTTAATGAGAAAATGGGAACAACTTTGCAATAAAATTCTTCCTCTGTGTGTGCTGAGTTGTTATTTGACTGAATAGATGTTTTTGCAGTGACTGAGCTGTGTTTTCTAGTGACTCAACAGTGACATATAAAGTTTATGGCTTTGGTTTGTTAAGTTTCCAGTTTTTGGACTAATTTCCTGAGCGGTTATTAAATGTAATGAAGATTATCATGAGTAAAAAAGTAAAACTTCACTGGTGTGTTATATATAGTTAGCAACATTTACTACAAAGCTTTTGGAAAAGTGTAATTAAGACATGTTCTTAATGCCGTTAATGTTTTTTTTTAATTGCTTATTAATTTTTACATTTTCTTTATTATGAATTTTCTAAATCTTTAAACTCCCAATATTTTTGTCTTGTTTTTTTTTATTTTCTCTAAACGTTTCAGCAACCAGTAGAGCCAGTTCTTTAATCTTCCCTCCTTTATGTGACAATAATCTTTTTATATTCAAACTAGGCTTTAGGCTCAAGGCCTAACAAAGCTATGCCCTCTTGTAAATTCTTTACATGTTAGGATATAAGAAGTGTATGGGGCCAAAATGGTAGCTTTAATATTTGCAAATGTGTGTGGAGAGTTGTGTGTCTGTATCTCGATTTGTGTGTGTGCAGTGGGATTTGAAAATGTGTAAATAAATCTGTAAATGTGTGAGGAGATGTGTGTGTCTGTACAACAATCCGCAAATGTGTAAAACTACAGGTGCTGGTCATAAAATTAGAATATCATGAAAAAGTAGATTGATTTCAGTAATTCCATTTAAAAAGTGAAACTTGTATATTATATTCATACATTACATACAAACTCATATATTTCAGATGTTTATTTTGTTTAATTTTGATGATTACAAATGACAACAAATGAAAATCTCAAATTCATATCAGAAAATTAGAATATTGTGAAAAGGTTCAAAATTGATGGCCCCTGGTGCCACACTCTAATCAGCTAATTAACTCAAACCACCTGCAAAAGCCTTTAAATGGTCTTTCAGTCTAGTTCTATAGGCTACACAATCATGGGGAAGACTGCTGACTTGACAGTTGTCCAAAAGACGACCATCGACACCTTGCACAAGGAGGGCAAGACACAAAAGGTCATTGCTAAAGAGGCTGGCTGTTCACAGAGCTCAGTGTCCAAGCACATTAATAGAGAGGCGAAGGGAAGGAAAAGATGTGGTCGAAAAAAGTGTACAAGCAAGAGAGATAACCGCACCCTGGAGAGGATTGTGAAACAAAACCCATTCAAAAATGTGGGGGAGATTCACAAAGAGTGGACTGCAGCTGGAGTGAGTGCTTCAAGAACCACCACACACAGACGTATGAAAGACATGGGTTTCTGCTGTCGCATTCCTTGTGTCAAGCCACTCTTGAACCACAGACAGCGCCAGAAGCGTCTTGCCTGGGCTAAAGAGAAACAGGACTGGACTGCTGGTGAGTGGTCCAAAGTCATGTTCTCTGATGAAAGTAAATTTTGCATTTCCTTTGGAAATCAAGGTCCCAGAGTCTGGAGGAAAAGAAGAGAGGCACTTCATCCACGTTGCTTGAAGTCCAGTGTAAAGTTTCCACAGTCAGTGATGGTTTGGGGTGCCATGTCATCTGCTGGTGTTGGTCCATTGTGTTTTCTGAGGTCCAGGGTCAACGCAGCCACATACCAGGAAGTTTTAGAGCACTTCATGCTTCCTGCAGCTGACCAACTTTTTGGAGATGCAGATTTCATTTTCCAACAGGACTTGGCACCTGCACACAGTGCCAAAGCTACCAGTACCTGGTTGAAGGACCATGGTATCCCTGTTCTTAATTGGCCAGCAAACTCTCCTGACCTTAACCCCATAGAAAATCTATGGGGTATTGTGAAGAAGAAGATGCAATACACCAGACCCAACAATTCAGAAGAGCTAAAAGCCACTATTAGAGCAACCTGGGCTATCATAACACCTGAGCAGTGCCACAGACTGATCGACTCCATGCCACGCCGCATTGCTGCAGTAATACAGGCCAAAGGAGGCCCAACTAAACACTGAGTGCTGTACATGCTCATACTTTTCATGTTCATACTTTTCAGTTGGCCAACATTTCTATAAATCCTTTGTTTTTATTGGTCTTCAGTAATATTCTAATTTTCTGATATGATGAATTTGAGATTTTCATTTGTTGTCATTTGTAATCATCAAAATTAAACAAAATAAACATCTGAAATATATGAGTTTGTATGTAATGTATGAATATAATATACAAGTTTCACTTTTTAAATGGAATTACTGAAATCAATCTACTTTTTCATGATATTCTAATTTTATGACCAGCACCTGTACTTGTGTGTAATCCTTTTTGCAAATGTGTAAAAAATCCACAAATCTGTATTCAGATCTGCAAATGTGTACTGAGATTTGCAAATGTGTAAAAAATCCACAAATCTGTATTCAGATCTGCAAATGTGTACTGAGACTTGCAAATGTGTAGATCAATCTGTAAGCACACACAGAGACACTTGTGTCTGAAGTATTTTCTCTTCAAGACCCAGAAATACAGACAAATCATTGGTTACAAGTCAAGCGGTTTTTCGGTTGGCTCTCTTTACACACGTGATTTTTGCTAATCTTCTGCCGCGTGAGATGCACAAATGCGTAGAAGGATTTGTATCTGTATTTTCGCGATTTGTAACCCCTTGCGCAGGCTCGCAGGCTCACATGCTGCCCTGACCACAGGCTCACAGACAGCCTCTACCTTTTTTTTTTCCTCCGCTGCGGGAGTTGACATGACAAGGATTATATATTGATACCATTCAGTAAGGAAAAAATTTAATCTATTATTAAACAAAAGGTTACGGAAAGATGGCAGAAGCTGTGGGAAGAGCATAGAACTGGAAGGTGGCTTTATAGCAAGGGCGTAGGTTTGATTTGAACTTTGGTAGGGACACTATTAGTCTGGTGTCATTGGTGCTATGCAATATGCATGCCCTTTTTTATGCTCGATGTGAGCATCCGTACTGATAAGAGGAATTCATTGTTAAAAGAGAAAAGCAACATTTTGCTCCATTAATAAAAATGTTATAAGCTCTACACTCATTAGATGCTGTTTATCAATGTTTGAAGTATCACCGGCTCTGATGAATGTGGAATTAGGACTGTTTTCCACTTTGAAAACGGTTTCATTTGAACGACTAAGAGAGAAGGTAAATACAGTATTTTCTTTTGAAGATATAGAATTGTGCAGAGTTAAACCCCACTCTTATATTTTTACCTACTATTCTCTCTCTGTATCAAGCAAAATAATACATTCATTAAAATATTAACTTCACTAAAAAAGTTGAACATCTGGGCTGTAGTTACTCTGTGTAGCCAATTTCATGTATTTCATCTGGGGCTGAAAAAAAATGAATCATATTAATTGATTATTTCAATAATCGTCAACTAATTTAGTGAGTGATTCATCATTAACTGGAGTATAGAGACTTTAAAACATACAGTAATATAAATGTAAAATGTGCCTTTCCCCACAGAGCAACCCACTTAGATCAGTTATTATATCAAAATTGTAAAAATAAAAACAAAAAAATGAAAACTGTAATATCAACTTAATATCAGTAAAAAGGAAATCCTCACATTTTCTTTTTTAGTTGGCTGTGGCTAAGAATCAGAAATGTTGATGGCTTACAGCCTTTATTTGCCCATTTTTCCAGCAGTCTTCAGAACTCCTGGCTGACTCAGAATATTTCGTTTTATAAAAGAAAAAAAAAGGTTTTTGTTTTGTAGTGTACATGATATTCATTTTTGTTTTAATTGGGACTAGTTTTGTAGCCTAATATTAATTGTAGTAACCGCTGCATTCTAGTGTGAATATATTTTCAATGTTGTGCTCCAAGCACACGCGGACTAGAAAACAGCCAATCAGAGAGAGAGAAGGCGGAACTTAAGGCAGAACAACCAATGAGAGTGGAGTTAAACAGCGCAGAACAGTTCCATGCGCTGCTACATGAAAGGGACAGGAGAGACCAGGCAGAGGAGCTGCGAGAGGAAAAGAAGCCACTGCTGCAACAATTACTGCTGTAAATTATAAACATGTTGCTCACATCCAATTATTGGTCGGGACAATTAGGTCGGTTCAAAATTTTGGTAGGGACATGTCCCTATGCAAACCTACGCCCATGCTTTATAGTATTCAAAGGAAAATTGGTGAAATGAGGAGAACGGAAAGGAATAAAAAAGAGGTTATATCTAGATTAAGTTTCGGAAACACGGGGTTAAATGGAAACTTATTTAGAATGGGAACAGGAGGTTGTGGTTTTTGTTATCAAGGGGAGACGGTGGAGCATGTTTTGTTGTTTTGTTATAAATATTCTATGGAGAGAAGGGTTACAAGAAAATAAATTACAGTTAAATATACAAGATATTTTGGGGGAAAAAAATCTACTTATGATTATTTTTGTAATTTGATATACAATCCTGAAAAAACGAAATTGGTAGAAAGGATATAAGTTTATTTATGTAAATATTGTTAATATTTATTTTTATTTTTCAGTGGGAAAATACATAGCATCCCGATCCACACTCTACTGAAGTAGATGGTGGTAATGCACATCATAAAGTTGCTTGCCAGCCGCCATAAAACAGAAGCAGAAGAAGAAGAAACAGTTTTACTAATGCAAACTATAGGAAAAATTAAAGAAATATACTTACAGAAAGCTGACGGGATTCCATTGCTCTCAACTTAGCAGGTACAACCCCTAGGACCCCAGTAACGTCACGTACTGTACAATACCGCCAACTGGTGGTATGTGGCTGTATGTGAAGCAAGTTGTGCTGAACTGTCTCAGCAGAGAG